CTGAAATCAAACAGCTGGAGGGGTTCTGGAAGAGGAACGTTTAGACCGATGTGAATTTAATAGAATCATAGACTCAAAGATCTGGAAGAGATTGCAAGGATCATGGAGTCCAACCTCGTGGGATAAACAAGAACTCGACAACTACACCATCTCAGAGAGCACCATCCAATCTCTGATTCGAAGCTTCCAATGAGATAGATAGGCTGTTCTATTGTCAAACATCTCTTACTGTGATAAAGCTCTTCTCATGTCAAAATCTCCTTTCTCGGAATTTGAGTCCATTGCTTTGGGTCCTACCCTCTGGAACCACAGACACACACACAAAATAACAATCCTCAGAAAATAATTTCTCCAAAGATAGATATCAAAGGTGCTTTGGTCCCTCTTTAGCAGCATTGGTTGGTCAGTTGGTTGGCTGGTTGATGTAAATAGGCAAGGTCTGCAGATTATTTTAGGGAGAGGAGGCCAACTGTTCCCATAACCGCATACTGTACTGTAGTTTTTTCATCACTCTTCGTGTTCACTATTTCGGTTTACTGACAGTTCCTTTGCATCTCTACAGATGTCTCAGACCAGCATTTGCAATCTTATACCTGAGTGTCTGGAGTTAAGCCTCACTGTACTCGGAGGACTTATTTCTGAGTGCACCATGCAATTGTTTAGTTGAGAGAAATGTGACGGGAGTCTTTGGGCCTTTTGTTATAGCTTGTTAACCCTCATTCGCTTTTCAGTTTTGACACCCCTTGAATGTGTAAACAAGAAGAACTTTCAGAGGAATTGCCATATATCTTGAACAGGAACTCAAATGTCCGGAAGATGGAACTGAGCTGTAACTAGCACTTTTGGCACCCAGGACAGGCAGCATCACCTCCCACCTGCCCATAGGCTCCTTGTTCTCTTGCTGCAGGTCTGGGACTGCCCCACAAACCCACTATTGCCAGAATCCTCTCTGCCTTCTTGGGCACAGGATGAAGGGTGCGCGCACCACAGTCGCAGTAGACCTTCTCATTGTCTGGTAGGAGAGAGGATGGACCTTCTTTTCTTTCTTTGAAAACATGCCCTTTCTCTTTCTTTGGGGGGGGATGCCACAGAGGAACAATGTGGGGAGGGGGGGTTCTACTTTGCTTCCTGCTACAAGCAATGAGAGAGTTTGGGCCGTGCCTGCAGAGAGTCTTGCAGAAAGCAAAGAGTGTTGGAAAAGTTGCTGATGGTTTTCTTGGCACTCTCTAGTCCACTCATCTCTAGCTCTCTCCATTTTGATACCTTGGGGCAAAGCCCTTACTTACCCTGCTGTAGAGATGGCTCTGTGGGGAATGGGTTAGTATGGGCCCCAGAAGCATTTATGAAGGATGGGTGTGGGCAAGTGACTTCTGCCCAACTCTCAATGGAAAGAAGAGACAGATAGAGGGTGGTAACTAACAGGAAAGGATTTGTCCAGTGCAGAACCAGATGTTTACCATCCGTTCTAATTGAAACAGCCAGGCGATGTTGTTAAGAAGCATATATCCTCCCTTTGATCTGAAAGCAGTTGTTGTCGTTTTGTTGTTGTTGGGTAGTGCAGGGGGCTGGTGGTGCCAGGAAGGACCTGAATAGACAAAGGCAACTGTTCTGTCCTCAGAAGAGTGTTTGTGCTTTATGTCAGGATATTGTCCTCTGTGGTGGCTAAGCTTCCATGCAAGATTGAGCAGTCCCAGACATACTTGGAACTAGAGCCCTAAAAAGTAACTTTTCTAACCTCTTCCTGTTCCAGGGATAACTCAAAGTGTATCTCTGTCAGTTCTATAGAGCCAAATGATAGTAAGCAGGTAGTGCCTTTTGCTCCTTCTAATCTTCACCTGCAGGACAGAAAAATTAGGGGCTTCTTTCTTTTGTGGGTAGCAGTGGACTCATTTGAAAGGAGAACTTGAAAGATGCAGTGTATGATTGCTGAATATGTTTTATGTAGCAGCACTTTCTGCAAACAGAACACTAAACTGTGAGGTTTAGACAGATTCCCCCCCCCAAAAAAAAAACCTCTTGTTAGAAGTGCTATTTACTTCTCAATATCTTTTTATATATTTAAATAAGAGTGGATGTGTGATTAATAAGGTGTGAGGCTCCCTCTTCTGGCTATGTTCTGTTACTACAGCTTTTTACTAATGTCCACTGCTGGGCAATAGTTCCCATTGGATGTTTCAAGACAACCAGTTATTCAGACTACCAGTGGAAAGATATGGGGTACCTAATCCGTCTTTCCTTCATTCAGGATTTTCTGAGATTAAAAAAAGAGGTGGAAAAAGAGAGGTGAGGAAATACTAGGAGACTAAGAAATGGTAGGGAAACGCAAAGATGACAAATGGAAGATATCCTCATCGGGAACCCCAATAAATAATGAATAAGACAGGAAGTTCATAAGGAAGATGCTGTGTTTGAAAGTATCCCTGCTATCAAAACCTCAGGGAAGTAAAAGTGTGCGTGTGTGCGTGTGAGCATGCGTATAAATAATGAATAAGACAGGAAGTTCATAAGAAAGATGCTGTGTTTGAAAGTATTCGTGCTATCTATGTGCAAATAAAAACCTCAGGGAAGTAAAAGTGTGTGTGTGCGTGTGAACATGCGTATGTGTGTGCGTATGTTTGTGTGTGTGGTGTGTCATGGCAGAATTAAATCCTACCCATCCGTTCTCCCCTCTTCGTCGGCTGCTTGGCTCTCCTGAAGATTCTGTTTACTTATTTTTAACCTTTACATTTGTTTTTGCTCTCTAGTTTCTCCTGTGGTCTCATGGGTGTGTGATATTGGGGTGAGTGGAGAGTAACTATTTAATACCCCATGGTGGGCACTAAAGAAAATTCAGCATTTGTTCCCACTTACCATTCCGTTTTTCCTCTTGCTTTGTTAGGAAACCATCTCCTCTCTGTTCTGAGTTTATGTTTAATATCAGATGTAAGACTTGTACTCTCTAAATCACATTTGTTAAGCTGGTGTATCATAGAAGCTCGGAGCGAAACTACATGAGATGCTAGTTTTATATCCAGGGGGTTGAGAGCCTGTAGGTTCTCCAGCAGCATGATTCTTTCAAACTTCTATGCTTGAACAATCGGACTTACAAATGAAACCTGTGTTCTCCTCCCAATGACCTATCACAGAAAAAAGAAAGCTAGTTTGCAAGATATGGGCAATGAGAAAAGCTCAGGCTACGACAAACAGACATTTTTCAGCACATCTGAAAATCCTGTTTCCAATGGTATGTTAACTGAGCCTGGAGGCCCAGGTTTTGGAATGCTTTTGCACAATTAAATCTACAGTGCCAGCTGTGCACCCATTCCTGGAGAGGTTTGATCTGGCCACAATGACACATGCCTTAGTCACATCCTGGCTAGACTACCATGACATGCTTTATTCGGGACTGCTTCTCAGCCAATCTAAAATGCAGCAACCAGGTTGCTAACTGGGGCTGGCACAGGGATCCCATAAACCTCCCTGTTGCAGCTCTACTGGCATACCTTACTATGTACCTAGAGCACCTATGGGGGCCATATGGTCCCGTGACACATTTGAACTGCCCATTCAAGAGTAGATCGCCCTCAAATACTTTGCATTGCAGCAGAGATAGATTGCAAGAATATACTTTGTCCCTAGGAAGTGCAGCTAAGCTTAGAGGAACTGGGAGACTTGCTATGTTTGTGTGAGAGAGACAGACGATGTCTCAGGCCTGCAGCTTCTACTCTCTACCATACAATATTAATCTATTTCACCATGTACAGGAAAAATTTAAAAAAGCAAAAGAACTGCAACACTTTAAAGATTAACAGGTTTATTTCAGGGGGAGATTTCATGAATTGTAACCCACTTCCTCAGGCACACAGAGCATAAAAGCTAAACTACAGGCTTATATATGTCATAAAACTGTGCCTTAACTATTCTGCTCCATATTTCTGGCAAAGTGGATTGTAATTCCCGAAAACTCTCAATAAAATAAATCAATTGGACTTTAACATGTTACGACACTTTTGCTTCTAATTTTTGCAATGCTGAACTGGCCTATCGCAGCAGAAGGCAGTGGGGTCATGCTTTCCACCACCTCAAAGAGCAGCAGGCTATTTTTCAGGATGCAAGATTGGCTGTGCAACATACACAGCTTTGTCTTTGAACCAAAAGAAATGGCAAAAGGGTTCCAGAGGAATGGTTTAGATTATTTTTAAAATGGAGAAAAATCCCCAGAGGACAACAGGTCTTTGGGCAACATTTGGTTGTGAGAGCTTAAATGGCATCTGCACATGGAAGCCATTCGTAAAGGAGTGGGGGGGAAAAGAGATCAATGTCCAAGGACAGTATATCTGTAAATACCAAACAATATGGGAAAGTCTGTGCTTGACAGCTTCCAAGAGGAATCCGGTGGCTGCTGCTGGAATCAGTAAACTAGATTTATACAAGGCTTGGTCTGATCATCCAGTGGGACTTTTTTGATGTTTGGATGGGTGGCTCAGGTGCATTGTGGGTGAGTAATGGGATCTATCTAGCTGCCTGCCTGCCCACCCACCTGCCTGCTTGGCCCAGAGCCTCTTACACTCCATCCATGGACAGGCAAGGGGAGTAAGGACAGAAGCTTCTTTGTGCAGACTCCACTTATGCCTGCTTTGTATGGGTTGCAGCTGCCAGGTTCCCTACAGCCTGACCCGGGACTATTCATCTGGGCAGGCAGGGGGTAGCAGCCCTGTTGCCATAACCAAGCCCTCCACCCCAGCTTGCTTTCCTCTCTCCTGCTGGGGAAGGGCAGTGAATTAAAGCAGCCCAAATTCCAGCTGCAGTAGGCAGTCATAGGCATGGGATCATGGTTTTGCTATCTGCTTGCTGCCTTTTTCAAAAAAAAAAATCCTTTTTGTGGGTTATTATAAAACACTGGAAAGCTCTTCTCGGACCAACACTGAAAGAGACCCAAGAAGCAGCCGCAGGGGAACTGAGCACCCTCCTCACCTCAGCCCCAGCTGAAGCCTTGTAACCAACTTTCCTCTTTTGGGCAGAATGGTGCTGTGCCTGGTGAGACAGAAAAGCGTGACGAGAACGTCAAACGTGGCAACTGGGGCAACCAGATTGAGTTTGTTCTCACAAGTGTGGGCTATGCTGTAGGACTTGGGAACGTGTGGCGCTTCCCTTACCTCTGCTATCGCAATGGGGGAGGTGAGTACTGGTTGCAGAAAAGTGGGGAGAACGGGGGATGGTGAGGGTTTAAAATGGCCCAGCATGATTTGGAGGGAGTATGGTGTGGTCTGCAGCTCACGTAGGCACCCTGTTGCATGTAGTTGGAGAGGGACTGTGCCATCCAGAGAGTTCTGGTTTCCAGCTGGGCTCCTTGTACCAAGGGCATGATGGGGGTGCCCAAACTGGACTAAAAGGCGCATATGTAAACATTGAATTAGTATAGAGCTCCCCCTGCAGGAATGGACTGAGATTAATTTCTGGAGTCAGGAAATTTAACTCCCCATCTGGACAGTGAAAATCAGGGCATATCCCTTCCTTTCCTAATGATTTTGAATCTCCAGTTTTCCCCATGAGGAATGCAGGGTGATTTCTTGTACCTGACCAGCCCATCTGTTCACCTAGCACTATCCTGTCTGAGTAGCCACTGTCTTTCCAGTCACCTCCTGTATGAATTGTTTTTAAACTGGAGTTGCTAGGGAGGGAGGGAGGGAAGCAGGAACGGGCGGGTGGGTTTTATCAGTCACATCTATTTATCTTGCCATTCTGCCACTTTCTTTTCTGTTTTATCTTCGTAACAATCCTGTGAGGAACAGAGGAAGAGTGATGATGCCCCAGGCCACCTAGAGAGTTTCATGACTTCATGAGAATTTAAAACTATACTGTAATTCAGCTCAGTTGTCTAATTAGTACTACCTCACACTAGCCCTCTGGATTGGACCCAGGACTTTTGCAAACTGATCACATGCTCTACTGCTGAGCTGTGGTTACTTTCCAGTGCTCATTGTCTCCTTTTTCTCTTGCCTCCAGGTGCTTTCATGTTCCCCTATTTCATCATGTTGGTGTTCTGTGGGATCCCCCTCTTCTTCATGGAACTCTCCTTTGGACAGTTTGCTAGCCAAGGTTGCCTGGGTGTCTGGAAGGTTAGCCCCATGTTTAAAGGTGAGAGGACCTGTGTCTTTCTTCTGGTTAAGTCTGCAAACATGTTCACCATATGCAGCGTTTGTTTCTTGTGCCATCCTACCATTAGGGTGGGGAATGAGGTAGCTCCCTGCAATTAGGAATGCATAGATGTGGGGGGAGGGATAAGTGCATTCCAAGTGGCCAATGCTAGCCTTCTGCCCTCAGGTGCAATACAGGGGCCCTTCTGTGCACCAATGTTGAAATAAGACTCAACTCTCAGTCTGTTGGCAAAGGGCCTGACTGAAGGACTGGTGATTTGATATGCAGTTGGATTTTATGAGTTCTGAAAACTAAACACATATATAACTCATATTATGTTCTTCTAGGAAAGCAACATGTATTCAAAAATAAAATACAGAACCTGTATTGCAACATGTCACTGCTTAGTTGTGATACTTATGCTCTCCAATTGTACATGAGAGTGTAGCACTCTAGTCAGAGTGCAGTGTTGTGTACCCTCTGTTTTCCCCAAGGGATAACCTGACACAGCTTTGCCCTTACATTAATGAATCAGGAAACAAAGGTCAACATACTTTGGGAGAGGGGTGGGAAAAAGTGCATATCTACAGTGTTTCCATGAAAATAAGATAGGGTCTTATATTAATTTTTGCTCGCAAAAATGCATTAGGGCTTATTTTCAGGGGATGTTTTATTTTTTTCATGTACAACTATCTACATTTATTCAAATACAGTCATGTCATCTTCTGGTTACTGCACAATGCTGCACAATGGTGGAGGGCAGGGTTTCACTTAACTGGGACTTATTTTGAGGGTGAGGCTTATATTATGAGCATCCTGAAAAATCATACTAGGGCTTATTTTTCAGGGAAACAAGGTAGATCATGTAAATGTTGCTTTTTAAGACTGTTAACCAGAATTCTAGGAGTTGTCATCCAGAAAAGCAATTCCTGAAAAATCTGTGCAGAGCTGATTCTATGCTGTGATTCTATACCATTTGGTCTCCCCTTTTCAGTCCAGGTATGCCATAGACTACAGTTGCAGTGGCATGCGTGCTGCAGTGTAGCCACTCAAAGTTTTACACTTCCTGCATGCTTCATGTACTGTATTTATAATTGCTTGTGAACTCCCGTAACCAAATACCTCTGAACTCTTTTCCTTGTCACTTATCTTTATATGTTCCTTCCTTCCAGGTGTTGGGTATGGTATGATGGTTGTGTCTACCTACATTGGGATCTATTATAATGTTGTGATCTGCATCGCCTTCTATTATTTCTTCTCATCAATGACACGGGTGCTACCCTGGACATACTGCAACAATTACTGGAACACACTTGATTGCACCGGTGTGTTGGACATTACCAATGGCTCAGCTGGGTCATCACTCAACTTCACGCAGCTGTTCAACCAGACAGTCAAACGCACTAGCCCCAGTGAGGAATACTGGAGGTGATGATGGAGGGGAACAAATGGGTATGGGATGAAGAGGGAGCAAGTTTGTCAGTGGGAAGGGAGGGCTAGCTTCACAGAGAATGAATTGACCACTTAGGAGGAGGCATCCTAAGAAACTAAAAACCAACAATCTTGTACAGATTGTGGCAGGTTTGTGAACATTTTTCCTGCTCCAGCAGACTCTGATTGTACAACTGATCACATAACCAATTGCACAGCCAGTCTCACACAGAGGATGAGATCGGCCAAACAAAACAGCCTTCCAGAGTGAGGACAACACGTGTGTGATTGCCCTTCTGTGATCACATAATACAACAGAATGCTGGCCAATATATTTGCCCCTTGAATTATGAGTTTATATTCAACTTCTGATTGACCCAGGCTGCAATTGAGTTCTGATATGTTTCTTACACTGTGGAGTGGTTACAAACTGACTTTCTCCACAGAAATCTGATACACTTATTATTACTATTACTATTTTGAACGCAAGTCTTATGATTTCAGTTGTTTAACATTAACCCAAACCTTGAGCCTAGTTAGTGCTAAACTGAACACCTCTGCTTACTTATTTACTTACTCATAGGTTTATTTCTCTAATCTCCAACAGGTCATTCAAAGTAGCAAACAACACAAGACTATTATTACAATACTTAAAATAAAAGGTTGACAGAAACACCCCCCCCCAATGATATTAGAGGCCATGCTTTCCTGGACAGGGTCTTTGATGGATGAGAAGGTGCAAGTCCTTGTGGTCTGTTTGCTAAAGGCTGGTGCAAAGCACCTGTGAACTCCAGCTTATGCCCCTTTCTCTCTCTCCCCACCCCCCTTGCAGGCGGTACGTCTTAAAGCTGTCGGATGATATTGGGAACCTGGGTGAGGTGCGGCTTCCCCTACTGGGCTGCTTGGGCGTCTCTTGGATTGTTGTTTTCCTCTGCCTCTTCAGAGGAGTCAAGTCCTCAGGAAAAGCAAGTAGCATTCCCTCTCTTCTAACTCATTCATACCTGCTGTCATGTTCAAAGGCCTAGTGCTCTTGGAAATAAGCATTCAGATTTATACCAGCCTAGAATTCATTTACTAATTCTTTCCAGAAAATTGTGGTGTCTAACATATTGGGGTGGGGGTAAGGAGATGTTAATACAGTGGCTACAACTGTTAACAGAACCCTTTGTGTGTTTAGGGCAGGGGTGGGCAATTAATTTCTATTGGGGGGGGCACATGAAAAATCTGAACTGTGTTTGGGAGCCAAACCAACTTTACTTAAAAATAAAATGAAACGGTGATATTATGATTGTTTTTATTTTAAACTTGCTAATCTTCACAAATACTAAAGAGGTTTTTTGCGGTATGTTAAAGATAAGCAACTGATCAACTTTAGACAAAAAGCTATAAATGGTTTTGATGTTCAAAACTGTCCATAGGCTGGACAGGAGTGGCTCGCAGGGCGTATGTGGCCCTCGGGCCGCACTTTGCCCAGGTCTGGTTTAGAGGGAGGTAAATAGATGTGATTTTGCAAGCTCACACAGTGGGGAATGCCAAAATATCTGTAGTTGGCTGACCCCCTTCAGAGTATCCAGCTGAACTGTAACCTATCTTCTGTCTGACATTCCAGGTTGTGTATTTCACTGCAACCTTCCCGTACGTGGTGCTGACTATCTTATTTGTGCGGGGGATAACCCTTGAAGGAGCCGTTAATGGAATCATGTACTATCTGACACCGCAGTGGGACAAAATCCTTGATGCAAAGGTACTCATGTGTCTTGGCAATCTTGATTTCCTGTCCCAGTCCCAACTTCACCTCCTTCCTCCCTTCCTTAAGAGTTTGAGGGTGTTTTAAACTGGTTCTGGGACAGAGATATGCTTGTAAATGCCTTTCCTCAATGACATTATTGTCTTTGGTAGGTGTGGGGAGATGCTGCTTCCCAGATCTTCTATTCATTGGGCTGTGCCTGGGGCGGACTTATCACCATGGCATCATATAACAAATTCCACAATAACTGCTACAGGTAAGATTCGTAGTAAAAGCATTGGAGAAAGGATGTGAGAACAATTTGCCAGCAGGGAAGGCTGTGCAGTTACAGCAGATAACAGAAGCCTTGATCCGTAGCTATAAGAATCCCTGTTTTATATATATATTGAAGATACCTGAAGACACTGAACATTTTGGAGCTCTTCTCTGAAGCCACGAGGGCCTGATATTTACTTTTTGCCTTAGAGCAAAACCTGAAACATTGTAACTATAGCCTTCACTAGACATATAGTCAAAATTAAAGTACAGTTAGGTGGATTAGTTACCCCTTACACTTACAGCAAGGATGGCAAATTATGGTCCATGAGCCGCCCAAGGTTGGGGACCACTGCCTTACAGCAACGATGGCAAATTATGGTCCATGAGCCACATGTGGCCCGAGTGCTAACTGTACCCCCAACATTTTAAAAATACATATTTTTAAACATCATAAAATGTTCTGGTTGGATCTGTTCTAAACATGGTTACTTTTTACCTTCACTATGTTTTGAGACAGCATATCTACTGTTTTATATGGGAAGAGGGCTTCCCTCTCATCTCCTAAAACTAGTAAATGTTTATGACAGCACAGGAGCAGGCCCCCCCCTTGCAAAAAAAGTGGAGAGAAGCAAAATTGCTCATTATGGTCACTAGAGGGTAAAAGGGAACTTTTCTTTTTCAGTTTAAAAAATACAAACTATATTATTAGAGGTGGTAGAGAGGCACCAGAGTGAAGGTGAATCCTCAAGGCCCACCCATGACCAAGTGTAGTTCCCGCACATGTAGAGATTACCCAACCCACCTTTTCTTTACAGCCTTCAACCATATTTTGATAGTGTTAGTCAAGAGACATAAAAGGCAGAGTTTATGTACTCTTAAAAAAATTAATAAAATATTATGTCCTACGTTTTTGTATTCTTCTTTCCCCCTCCCCATCCAAAAAAGCTGAGAACTGCTCATCTACCCAAATATTTGTAGAATTTGGAAACATTCCTTTTTTGGATTAGAACTCAATTTTTAGAAGTTAAAAAAATAACATTTATAACCTGTGGGTATTTTCATGATGGTCAGACATGCTTAGCATCAGAAGTAGCATAACAAGTTAGGTGGCATGAAAGCATTTTCTGGAACATTTCTCCTCCTTTAATGAATGAGCCCAGTTGAAATTGTGCAGGGCAGTCCAGCCTCCAAGCTTCCCATAAGTGACTTTTCCCTCTCTTTCCCAGAGTGTCTCAATACATAAATTGCCCTCCCTCTTTCCACAGGGACAGCATCATCATCAGCATCACCAACTGTGCCACAAGTGTCTACGCAGGCTTCGTCATCTTCTCCATTCTTGGCTTCATGGCCAATCACCTCGATGTGGACGTTTCTAAGGTGGCTGACCATGGACCTGGCTTGGCCTTCGTGGCTTATCCTGAGGCACTAACGCTACTTCCTATCTCTCCTCTGTGGTCTGTTCTCTTCTTTTTCATGCTCATCCTCCTGGGACTGGGCACACAGGTAATCAATCAGACATAGATATTTGTGGTAATCAGTCAGAACATGTAGGACTTGGGGGACAGTGGAATGGAGAGACAGAGAGTTCCTGTGGGGAAAAGGCATGTTTGACATTGGGCAACTGGATGCATCAGAAACCACAGAACACCATGGAGTGACTGATTACACAAAATTTCAAAGCAAATAAAGCTGCAAACAGCTATGTATTGGGGGTTATGCCCATGGAGTGATGGGCAGGTAGACTCTGGTGGGCACACTGATGTATTTAGTCAGTGCATGTTACTGGAGGGAAGTAGGAGAGGCACCTTTAGATATTGTTGGTCTCTAGCTCCCGTAATCTCTCACCCTTCCTTATTCTTCCCAGACCTAGTGGAAACTGTACCTCCAACCACACTGGGAGGGCCACAGGTTGATTACCTCTGATCCTTAGATGAGGATGGTAATGATGACTTCTGATGACCCTTCTCGGGGTTTTCTACGTATACAGTATACAGAGGCAGTCGCAAAACCAGGGAGCTGGACAGGGGACAGATTGTATTTGTCTTCAGTGTGGAAGGGATTGTCACTCTCGAATCGGCCTTCTCAGCCACACTAGACACTGTTCCAAGTCCTCCATACAGAGCACGTAACCATAGTCTCTCGAGACTGAAGGATGCCTAATCTAAAAAAATCTAAAATGATGCTGGAAAACAGTCAAACACGAGCATCCAAATTCCTCCAAAGAACAAAGGAAGCATCCTTGTCCATATCCATTCCAAGGGATCCAGCTTCTTCTCAACCTCAAGTTGAACTGGAAATAATGCAGATTGAGAAGAATAATTGCAGATGTTGTTGCTGAAGGAATAAGAATGGAGTTTGGAGCCATCACAGAATCCTCATTGTTTGTTTTTTCTTGGTCAATTTTCTTAGTTTTGCCTCCTGGAGACTCTTGTCACTGCCATTGTGGATGAAATAGGAAATGACTGGATCATACGTTGGAAAACCTTAGTGACTCTGGCGGTGGCCGTGGTGGGCTTTCTCCTAGGTGTTCCTCTAACTACTCAGGTATGAAGCACAGAGACAGAAATGAGTGGGAAGGTGGAGAGGACTGCTTACTAGGGCTCTGAAAGTATAGAATTGTCCCAACCTCTATTGACTGTTTTCCTTCGGTCTTTCCATTTCAGGCTGGCATCTACTGGCTGTTACTGATGGACAACTATGCAGCAAGCTTCTCACTTGTTGTCATTTCATGCATCATGTGTATTGCCATCATGTATGTCTACGGTAAGTAGGTTTATCCACTTGATAGGTACATTTCCTAGAATAGCTAATCACAACACTGCTCAGTGAGGTCTGGGCCACATATGCTTGCTTCTTTTCAGAAGCCAGATTAAATATAAGCTGGGCCTTAATTAGCCAAAGTTGGAATTCAGTCCAAAAGACAGACACTCTTATTGCTGATCAAGACTGCCAGGACTCCTGCCTCCGACGTTTGGAATCTCATATTTGTTGAAAAATTTACTTGATTATGTTGGGACACTGATAGTCCTGAGGAGTCACCTCTAGACTGAGGAAAGAGAGGCAGTGCTAGAGGATGGGGAGTTTACCTGTGCTCCTTCTTGGTTTGCAGAGATTCTACCACTGCTCTGTGTCTGTAGGCAAGTAAGATAGGCATGCCCTCTTCCTAATCTCAAGCTCTAATATTAGACAAGGTAGTCTAGAGGGTGTGATGTGCCCCACATTGGTGATTAATTTGGGGTCCTCTTGCTAAAGTTCAGAGCCCAGAACAAGTCCAGCTGATGACATGAAATGCTAAACGGAGCTCTCATTTTTCAAAGTGTGGAATGGAAATAGCCATGGGATAGATATATGAGAACCTGCAGTGTCCCTGTTTCATTCTACACCACTGACAATCCCTGTCTCCATTTCTACTCAGGGCATCGAAACTACTTCAAGGATATTGAGATGATGCTGGGTTTCCCACCACCCCTCTTCTTCCAGATCTGCTGGAGGTTTATCTCTCCTGTTATCATATTTGTGAGTGTGTAAAGGGAATCACAGTGGGGAGGAAGGAGGAATGGGACAGACACAGTATTGGAAAGGAAAGGAGACAGTACAGTGTTACAAGTAATTAAAGCAGATGTGTTTAAGTATATGCAAAGAGGAGGGTTAAAATGTAAGCTGCCAGGACAGAAGACAGCCAAAACTGGGACAGGGGAGATGCAAGGGAATGCCAATGTGCCTGTCAGTTGAGGCCAACCCCATGATGGGGAATTTTGTGGGTGTTGTGTCAGGACTATTTAATTTGTTTCTGTTTTCAATGCTTATTAGATAGAAAAGGGGAGAGGTCCTTGAAGGGTTTTCTGCCTCCTATACCAACTTAACATGATTGGTTTTGGATACAATGCTCATTATCCTATTCAGTATTTATGCACAGGCAGCACTGGAACTGTGGAAGCTGCTGCAGTAATCTGACTATTTGTCACTCATGACATGACCAGGCACAAGACCAGCACTTTGCCAGACTGCCACAAGCATTTCAGCAGTCGGGACTTCTGCATTCCATTGAAAAGGTTACAGGTCTATGCAACTTATTTACTATTGCACTCAGGCAGCAAAATGTTTTGGCCTGGTTCTGACACCATGTATAAAACCAAGTCCCTCCATACCTGCAAAAGGTATTGGACCTCTGATGCTGTAGGGAAGGGCATGCATAACAGTGGGAACTGACCAAATCAGTCTTTGGGCTTTCTTTCTTTCAATCAGTCTTTTTGCCACTCTTCCCTCAGTTTATCCTCATCTTTACGGTGATCCAGTACCGGCCAATCTCCTACAATGCCTACGTTTACCCCAGTTGGGCGATCACCATTGGTTTCCTCATGGCACTTTCATCTGTCATCTGCATCCCCATCTATGCTGGGTTCTGCATTATGCGCTCAGAAGGGGACTCACTGCTACAGGTAGGACTGGGGAAATGGGCTGGGAAGGAGAGGAGGATGCACCGGCCCACTTGAGATTCTAGCAGGAAAGTTACTTGCCACTAACATTTCCCCATGCCTTCTGTCTCTGCAGCGTTTGAAAAACGCTACCCGGCCGAGCCGTGAGTGGGGCCCAGCTCTTACAGAGCACCGGACAGGCCGCTACGCGCCGCCACTCAGCTCCTCCACAGAGTCCCAGCTGGAGGTGCAACTGCTGAACCCTGAAAAGCCCAAGAACGATGAGGTTGGAATGGTGGCTGCCATCACCATCGGAAGCAATGGCTCTACCCACAGCCAGGACTCCAAGATCTGAATCATGGCCTGGGAGGCAGGACAGGGAGCCCTCTGTGCACCTCCCCTTTCCCGCCTGCCCTGGCCCTCCAAACCCTATTCTGCTCAGATGTTCTAGAGTGCCCCCCGCTGGGTGGGGGTGCCCTGGTTCCCAGGCTGTACCAGACTCTGGGGGAGGGGCCTGCAAGTTCCTGCCCCACCCACTTCATTAGTGTCCACCCCTCTGTGCCATCTTGTAACCTTCTTGTTTACAATAATATTCCGATGGCCCCAATTCAGAGTCAGGGCCAGGGACAGAGATGGGGAGGGTGTGCACTGGCTGACCAGGTGGTTGGGGGTGTGCCTAGAAGGGGTACCAAGAGGAGGGTCAGTTGGAGCCTCATTGGCTCAGCAGCCCCTTCAAGATGGATGCTGGCAGCTGCACCTGGGCCCAGGGGGTCTGGAATCTAAAGGGGATTGGAATGCCCCATACTGCCCTGGATCAGGGCCGTGGGGACTGACCCCACAGAGAAGCAAATGGGGAATCTGGGGAGGGGGGAGGCAAGGTGACGTTGGGAGCAGTTGTAAATGTAAATGAGGGAACATTCTAAGCAAAGCATAGCCGTGGGCTCAACAGCCCTCGGGGGGCTGTTGCCCCTGCCAGGGCTCACCGGGAGATACGTGAAAGACTGCACACCACCCACCAAGGCACAAACCTCCCCATCTTCCCCACCTCTCTCATGTCTAGGACAGGAGAGGGAGTTGCTCCCCAACACTATCAATAGGCACTTATTTTGAGTCATGATTCCCACTTAAAGAAACATTATCACTAGAAACTGTGTAGTGGGTTTGACAGATTAATAATGTGGGGGAATTGCTGGAGAGCTCTTTCCGCACGGGGTTACAGTCAATGAAAGGAAGGGCACATCACTAGCCTATGAACATAACAAAGCCTCCATGTGACTGCAAATTGATCTCAAAGATAGCCTTACTTGCACATCCATCTAGAATCTCTTTCTCTCCCAAGCCCTCAAATCTCTCCTACAGGAATCCAAGCAGACATAGAGTATTTGGGAGATAGACAATTGGTTAACTATCTCCCACTTCTTAATAGAAACCAGATCTTGAAGAAGTTACTTCTATGGGTGTGACCCTGTAGCTGCCTGGATAGCTCCTAGAAACTTAGGACTGAGAGTTCTAAGTCCAAAAAAAGTAACTTCTCCAGGCTTTGAGCACAACTGAGACCCTGGATGCATCTTGTGACCGTGATTTAAATCCAGGGCACACCCGCAGGCTAGGGACAGAATATGCCAATCCATCACACTTGGCTTTGTACAAGTGGGCACCTTTAGACTGTACAGCACCATCTCCTGGAGGTTCAGCCAAGCCTAATATTCTTGGTAGCGATCCTGGGGGAGTTGGGTTAGGGGGCCAAGGTGGGCATTCGGACACACAGTTTTATACCTTTGTCCTGAAAAGGAGTAAAGGAATCTGAGTGGGTAACTCATAGTGGCAAAAGCCATTGGGACCTAGACTGCCCCACCCCCTAGGGAAGGGAGCAGAGCAAACCATGGTGCCAAGAGCACATGATGTGCCAATACTGATCCACACCACTGGGGGGGGCAGAAAAGGCAAAAAGCACAACCTTTTATACCACCCATCCCTAGCCAGGCATGACCAACATCTCTGGTATTAACAGTGTGTGTATGTGTGTGTGTGTAAACTACCAGACCTATGCTGCAGGCACAGCCACGTTGGCAGAGGCACTGGTGCTCGATCTGGCTGCAAGACTTCTCTCTAACACACTGGCTCAGATGGGTAGTAGAAGTCACTAATGGTTCTGTCTTCTGGCCTCATCACTCCTCCTTTCCCTGCCAGTGTTTCTGCCTGCACTTTATCCCCTAGAAATGCTTGGGAGGAGGAGGAGGAGGAGACAGGAGGCAGCCCTGACAGCCATTGTTCTGCCCTCTGTCCTGTGGCAATGTCGTCAAGTCATTTAACCATGCCAAACAGTGCATGCTGGGGGCATCCCTAATTCCCCATTATGCACAACTGCTGTGGTGCCAACAAGCAAGAGCACCTCCGGTTCCTACCCCAGCTAGTGGCATGGGCACCGTGGCCAGTGTTTAAGTGCCAAATGTCTGCATCATCACGAGCAGATAGAGAGGGGACAGATGGCTCCATGCCATGATGGCTTTTGCCCTAAGTCTCCAACACTCAATCCTTTCTTCCTCTGTACCGAAGATGCACTATTTAATGCATGGTTCCATGTCTGTCCTTCGCTCCCCGTGTCAAGTGTGGCAAGGACCATTTGCTGCCTCTCATTGTTCATAGCAATAATTGTGATGCGTTTCCCATACTGTGACTCTCCCAGTTGTAGATTTTTAAAGTCCAATAGATTTTAATGAAATTTATATTCCTGAATCAAGGATGGTACAGTCCTTTTTGTGGAGGGGGAAAGGGAGGATGGTCTTGAGGGGCTGCATTTACCCACTGCTGCTAACACAAGGGTCACTGGGTCCTCATGATATGGTAGTGGTTGTAGATGATTGTCTGTGTTCAGGGTAGCCATTTCTGCATTTTCACATCCTCTGGAATGCCACATGGCCCGGTACCCAGAGATGAGCAAAAGTCACTCCAGCCAATGTGCCCAGTTTTGGTACAGGAAGCTATGATTCCCCTGTAAGGACACCACAGTGTAAGGGCGTCCTGAGGAAAAGGAAGGCCTCCTTTCCCTAGCTGGGTCCTTTACATCGTAGCAGCCTAGTGCGGAGGGAAAAGCGGGGCAGTGGGCATGGTTCTGCAGGAGGCATGGGCTGGAAGGCAGGCTCCCACTCTGGTGCTCCTGTCCTGCAAGCTGGAGCAATCCTGATGCCCTTGAGAGGCATCCGAGTTATAGAGGCAGTCAGTGGGGTGCCACTGTCCTTCCTTGCTTGCTTAAATTCCACTGCATCCCATTCCAAATTTCGTTTTGCTGAAGGGCTCCACCAGGGTAGTGCTTGATGGCGTAAAGGAGATGTCTGATGTGGTGAAGAAGCTGTAGTAGAAGCATGACTGATCTTTACCAAGTTTGATCCTTTGGCTGAGCTCTTTGGACTGAGAAATGAAAAAGAGAGAGAGTTACAGGGAAGCTGGGGTGCTGTCCAATGTCCCACCAATTTGGACTGAGAAATGAAAAAGAGAGAGAGAGTTACAGGGAAGCTGGGGGTGCTGTCCAATGTCCCACCAGGTGAAATCTCAAAGATGGAACTCCAATGGCTCCTGCACTGAATGAATTCCAAAACTTTGACCACAACAATCCTATCATAAAGCAACTCTGAACTGTGCCCACTACTCTATAACTACAGTACGACTGCAAATCTCTTTCACTCCAGATGTTAGATTGCAAGCCTCATGTAGCCATAGGTAGGGCACAATAGTAGTTGTAGTCCAGCAACATCTGAGGACCCCATATTTCCCATGCCTGTGCTCTGTACAGCTCCACTGATGCCCCTCAATTGTACTTTCCTGGACCCTAAGTTGCAAATATTATTACCTTACCGTGTCTGGGGTGGAGAGTTACTACTCCAGAGCTGTTTTGAGATCAGGGAAGAGCTAGAGCATAGTTTGGACTGACTCATTTGCAAATCTCGCTCCATGGCACGCTTCTCTTCTTGTAATTCTGTGGAGAGATGGCTGCTCTTAGGTGGAGAAACATCAGCACTTGTGGAGACCACTGGACTGACACTCACAAAAAGATCAGCTGTCTTCTAAGGCAACCATTACTTTAGGATGACGACTACAGTCAGCATGATGCTGTGTCCCTCCCCCACAAACCAGTGTCAAATAGCAGCGTAAGACCAAGGCTCTGCATACCTGCCATGGTGGGTTCATGTGTGGTCTGTTGTAGCTCTTTAGCATGTTGGTATGCCTCCTCCAGTTGGCACTGTGGAAGAATAAAGGATTTAACAGGACACAGAGAAAAGTTTTTCCATTAGCCTGCTTCCTCAATATGCCAGTGTCTCCTAAGAGAACCTAGTGCTGGAAGTCCTCCCACAGTTGCTTCTTTACTTTTCCTTCCCATCTTCTATTTGACCTGGTCACTCACTGCCGAAAGCAGAAGAGGGACAGGTAAAAATGCACCCCACCAGCACCAGGTGCTTGTTCTCCTGGCGCATAACATTGACGAGCTTTCTGTAATCATAAGCCTGTCGTCAAAACTACTAAGGGAAAGCAGACAAGAGAGGTGAGTTTCTTACACTTTAGCATTGCAAAGTGCTTGAATTTCTGTTTTTGTCTTGTTTGGGGTGTTTTGTTTTTTTAATTCATGACATACACCTCTGTTTCACAGTGAGTAGCTGTGAATTGTGCTTTTTTCGTGCTTCTTTTTTTAACTGACCAAGAGCAGCATGGTAAAAACTTTGGGGATTTTGATTTCTCTCCTATTGCAGTTTGTCTCAGTATTCTGGTGTGTGCATGTGTATGTGTTTGTGTATTGGACTGTGATTACACATTTCACTTTTTTTTTTTAAATGACCGTTGCCATTTGCATGCAGGTACACTATCTTCACATTCAAATTCCCTATTCATACTTCTGGCAAATGGCTGTTTCCCCCACTTTGCCATCAGAGCCTTGCCTTCATCAAACCACAGCAAAATCCTGTGTTTTCTGCTCAATTTCAGTACACATACATAATCGAGTACAAGTCTATTCTTATTCTCACTCATTAGCATTTACTACATGTACCATCATGACCAGGTATCAGTAAAATGGCATGAAAACCATGACTAATTCTGGGCACATGGTTCAAGATCATGATGCCAGGTTCTGGTCCCATAATATGTTTGATTCACTGGGTGGTGCCTTCCCTGCTACTATGACAGAAGATGAAAAGAAAGCATGGTATCATCATGAAACATCACCTCCAGGACAACAGTGACATGAAGGAAGCAAGTATGGCATGTGGCACACAAGATGCACATTTGGGAAAGTTCTGGCTGCCGGAGCTCTGGCTTTATCTGCTGAGTCCTTGAACATGTCCATATGGGAGTTGCAAGCAATGCAAGAAGACGTAGTACATCATAACAGCAAAGCAAGAAGAGTAAGACTAGTGTGGAATGCATGTCTGAAATGAAAAGTGAAAGAAATCGGCAGGAAGTAACATGGCCTTTACTCTCAGAGATGCAGAGTTGCAAAGATCATTTCAGTCAGCAGATGCTGACAGCAGGAGGCAGTCTTGCAGCAATCCTGCAAGCCAGTGTGATGGTGCGTTCATACTCCATATGCTATCCTGCCACTCACATTTCCTAATGCCTACATACAACCAGTATTTCAAGTTTGGGTACAAGCAAAAAAGGGGAGCTATTTGCACAGCTCCAGAACACACACAGAAGCCAAATGTCAATCCATTCAAATGTCACTTCCTTCTTGATGAAACCAAGAGATCTCACTCAGTGCCCACATGTGCTTCGCTCTAGACCAGCAGAGAGGATTAACTATGTATATCCCACAGGTCAAGTTATTATGTGTGTAGAACTGAGAGATATTCTAGGCCAAGGAAATGTTGCACTAGAAACTTGGCTTAAGCCTGAGTACAAACCAGTCTAAGTAAAGATCAAGTAAGACTTAAAGCAGACTCTTGGAAGTGTATAAAACATACAAAACCTATTCATATGGAATAGTATCTCTCAAAACACCTACATAGGGTGACAGGAGTTCATCTTTTACCTGTAAATAAGAGATGTATCTTTCCAGAGAATAGCATTCATTTTCCAGCAGGGTCCTAAGAGAAATGGGATGGCTAGTGAGATCCATGTGGTGGGAGAAACCTGGGAAAACAAGCTGCTGCCAACATTGCAGACTTGAAGACACCTCAGCTTTCCCACTTTTGTTTCACTTACCTCTCCTTATACAGCACTGAATTCAGCAAGAGCACATCTACTGCTTCTTTACATTAGCCATTCATTGAGCTCTAGATGATAAGTATGGCCCCTTTTTAAAAATACCACTTCATGCAAAGGCACAAGGATTTTTTTTGCTCATGACTAACATCTAGGGCTTAAAAAGTTACTTTTAAAAAATAATTGATCACAGTTATACTCCCACACTCCTCACAACAGTTGTAATAGTTTTAAAAATACATTTTTAATTTTTCCATAACTAAAAAAAAAATATTTTTCTAAAGAGAAAAATAAACCACTGAAATGCTACTGGCCAATGATCTCTAGTAAAAAATGCACTCTCCTCCCTTCTGCCTGTTCATTGTACTACCCACAGTAGAGCACAAGGTACAGCAGAAGCCAAGCATTTGAACCGTGCAATACTTCTCTGCCATTTAGAAGGCCACCCACCTCATTATTATCAAAATAAAAGGCTACTATTACAGTGTGAAAGCCTAAAAGGCTACTATTACAGTGTGAAAAGAGCTAATGTCTCCCTCATCACGTTACTGTAGTTAATAATAATTAATAATAATAATGTGCCATTAAGTTAGTTCTGACTTATGGCCACCCTTTTCAGAGTTACCCAGGTAGAGAATATTCAGGTTTGCAATTCCCTTGGGGATGCCCTGGGATTGTGCAGCTTGTCCAAGGCCACACAGGCTGGCTCTACTCACAGGAGGTAGAGTGATAGTGTAGCTGCACAAGATAAGCTGCCTTGGGTATTGCGCAGGCAATGGCACATACTGCCACGCCCAGTGAAATTTTGGCAGTATCTTTGGTCATGCAGACTGAAGAATTCTGCAAGTTGTAAAGCAAAAAGTAGCTTTTTCCAAAGTCTGCTCCTAGCCCTCCTTCCCTCTTTGCAATTACCTTAACTATTCTCCACCACCAAGTGTTCTGTTGTACAGTATTTGCTTGCTACAAAATTTCTATACAGTATACCAACATATCTGGCCAGTGTATGTCTCCCTTCCAGACCCAGAGCAGGCACCTGTGACCCTTTTATATCTCCTTACAACACTTGTCCCAAGAAGAAGAAGAAAACTGAAATAGAAGGCAAAGAAGCATCACACTATTTTTTAAAAAGTCCTTACCTAAGTCGAGAAGATATATCACCAATTTGGGCAATATTCAGTTTATTACAGAAGGGCCCCAGGTCATTAGTGATTCTGGAGGATGCTGGTCTAAGGAAACAAAGAGTGGATGAGCTGCTGTGGCAGGCTTGAAAAAGGTCAGCTGTTCCTTGCAGGCAGGCAGACTCACTGCCTATGACAGATGGGCATTCTCCCATTAGGCACATTTCAAAAGGGACACTTGAACCATGATTGAGAACCAGAATTTGGGTGGAAATGTCCACTGCTTTCTTCCCATGTGCCCTAGTCTCGACAGTTTCTTGATTTTCTGACCTCCCTCTGTGGATGTCACAAGGCAGGAGCCGGTGAAAGTGACTTGAGATATTTCTCAGAGGCACCTGATTGAAAGAGCAGCATTCAGATGACTGGCTTTCACACAGGTTCCTAAACTCACTGCAACATTCCCTATCGTGCCATATACAGTATTTGGATTTCACGTGGATACAAACTTGGTAGATGATCAGAAATACTTTGAAATAAGATTATACAGCTTCAGCCCTTAATACAGTTACTAGGCAGCAAGCCCATGGAAAATAAATTGATTCTTTTATGAATAAATGTGCATAGGATTGCACTGATACTTAGGACTTCTAAATTCATCTCTTCCAGGGGAAAAAACCCTAAAAAAATGTCATTCATGCAAGTTTAGGCCTGCATTTTCAAATCCGCTTAAACAAAACAAAACAAAAACATTTCACAGAAGAAGAAACATAAAAATCAGGCACAAACCAACATACAGAAAAGTAAACAAACAAATCACTAGGTTTTATATGTCATGCTGAACAATGTAACCTTTTTAATAGTTACCAGAGATTATTACACTGTAATCTTACTGAGTTCAAAGGGACTTGGTGTCAGGAGAATTGCACCCTCAGTTTATCTTCAAGCTGCTCTTCGCTTCCTCATCAAGAGAATGAAATACACTCTAATTTCTTCAAGGACAATTCATACTTTCCTCAAGGGAAAATTAATTTATGAAAGCAATCTCTTAGCTCAGGCATCAGAGAAAAAAAATAGCCAAAGCATTTCAAATTGGAGCAGAAGATAAATGGAATATGCAAGCCAGTAGGTGATCAGGAAAGGGCAAGGTGGAGGGCTGAGATCAAGTTGGGAGAAAAATATCAGGTTATTATATTTCCATAAAATATTTGAAGTCCTGACAGAAAGAATTCATAAAAGAGAAAAAGAAGAGGAAGAAGAACCACTACCACAACAACGGCACAGAAGTTGTTTACTATTCCCTTCTTCTGAGGTCCTGCTGGGACTCTGCAGCTTGCCTAAGGCCAACACAGGCTGACTCTTCAGGGATGTACAGTGGGGAATTAAAGGGGATTAATATAGCAACTACATGTCTAGATCTGCACCAAAATGGAGATAAAACACTCACAAACAACAATTGTTCACAAGCTGCTGCTCCATTCAGTCTGCATGATGTTCGAAAACTGGACAACAGAGATGAGCACCAGAGATTACCCATAGAAACAGAGAGAACCAGTTGCTGCTCCGTTTCAGAATGTACAACATGTGGCACTCCATGGTATTACTCTTTCTGCAGATAGTATCACACATGAACTTCGGGACCACCTGCTGTAACACAAAGCCCTGTGCAAGGCCTCACTGAACTGAGGTATCACTTTCCTATAGACAGAGCTATTCTTAGATGTTACCTGATGAGGGCACTACTTCCACTCCCAGACAAAGGCCGACTGTTGCCAGCATTCAAAGCAAAGGTGACCACATGTGGGCTGTATTTAGCAATGATGTCATCTTGGTCTCTGTAATAAGAAACAGAAGAAATGCATGTATGAGGACAGTTGGAAACAAGAGCCCTGCCACCATCTGCTAGATGGAATGAATATGATCCAAGCAAACCTCTCCAGCCAAAAAGGCAAAGCAGGCTGGACAACACCTCCTTGCAACTCCTGAATCTCCCAGGCTACTGGGTTATGGCCTTTGGGATGAGAGGCTTCCCACTTGTGACTTAGTGTGTAGGGAATCATGGGCCGAATATATATATGTCAATATGGAAACAGGGAAGAACTCTTATCAGAAACATACAGGGCTGGGATTGAAGAACAGTGGTGAAGTCTGAAGGGTATGCACACGGCACAAAGAACTTGAGTGTGTGAATGTATGTAAGAACAGCTCTGCCGGATCACGCCAAGGGCCCATCTAGTCCAGCTCCCTGTATCTCACAGTGGTCCCACCAGATGCCTCTGGGAGCACATGAGACAACTAGATGTCTCCTGATATCCCTCCCCTGTATCTGGCATTTGGAAGTACCTTCCTTCTAAGCCAGGAGATTATACATCCCCATCATGGCTTGTAACCTGCAATGGACGCTTCCTCCAGGAATCTGTCCAATGTAAAGGCATCTAGGTCAGATGCCATCACCACATCCTGTGTCAAGTAGTTCCACTGACTAACAACATGCTGGGTAAATAAATATTTTCCTTTGTCTGTTCTCACTCTCCCAACACTGAATTGGAGTGGATGTCCCCTGGTTCCAGTATTGCATGAGAGGGAAAAGAGATTCCCTCTATCCACTTTATCCATCCCCTGCATAATTTTCTACATCTCAATCATGTCCCCCTCAGGCACCTTTTGTCTAGACCAGTGGTTCTTAACCTTTTTGAAAGAAACGCCCCCTTGAGCCATTGAGGAAGTTATCATCGCCCCCCTCCCCACAGCGATGATATCTTTTTTATTTATTTATTTATTTATGACACTTAAATCCAATGACCCCTGAAAACAAAATTCACTTCAAAGAACTAAATTAAAATTGGAGGAAAATATATATTCATGCACACTATAAAAAGGCTGCAGCCATCTTCACAGGTTTGGCTTGCTCCAGTGCGCCCTGCCGCCCCCTTTCTGCTCCAGTGCCCCCACACCGCCCCTTTTCATTCTACCGCCCCCCTGAAAAATGAAATCGCCCCCTGGGGGGCGTTATTGCCCACGTTAAGAACCACTGGTCTAGACTAAAGAGCCCCAAACGCTGTAGCCTTTCCTCATAACGGAGGTGCCCCAGCCCAGTCATCATTTTAGTTGCTCTCTTCTGCACCTTTTCCAGTTCCACAATGTCTTTTTTTAGGTGTGGTGACCAGAACTGTAGGTAGTACTCCAGGTGCGACCTTACTAGCGTTTTGCACAATGGCATTAAAATGTTGGCTATTTTATTTTCCCTCTGTTAATTATACCTAACATGGAATTAGCCTTCTTCACTGCTGCTGCACGCTGGGTTGACACTTTCACTGAGCTGTCCACCAGCACACCAAGATCTCTTTCCTGATTAATCACTGACAGCTCAAAACCCAGTTTATTAAATAACGTTTTGATTTTTTTGCCCCAATGTGTATTGCTTTACATTTTCTTATATTGAAATGCATTAGCCATTTTGCCACCCATTCACCCCGTTTGAAGAGATCCTTCTGATCTTCACCACCTGGGAAAGTTTTGTGTCATCTGCAAACTTGGCCGCCTCACTGTTTATCCCTGTCTCCAGGTCATTTATGAACAGGTTGAAAAACACTGGTCCCAGGACAGATCCTTGGGGCACATTACTTTTCACCTCTTTACATTGTGAAAATTGCCCATTGACACCTATTCTCTGTTTCCTGGTTCTCAACCAATTCTCAATCCTTAAGAGGACCTGCCCTCTTATGCCTTGACTGTGGAGTTTTCTCAGCAGCCTTTGGTGAGGGGCCACGTCAGATGACTTCTGAAAATGCAGATAGACGATATTATTCACTGGTTCACCCACATCCACATGCCTGTTGACCTTTTCAAAGAATTCTAAATTGGTTGAAATGAGGACAGCCAAAGCCCACATTGTTGCCGATCTGCCTATTCTGACTATTGCCCTTGTCCAGCTTTCCATTGTTTACAGAGGAGCAAGGCAGGAAGACAATCCTCAGCCAAGGGTTCCTGCAGGTGCTGATTTGGACTCTCACTCGGATGAATGCCCCCTTTGACTAGAGGTGTGGGGACATAATCTTGGCCTCGGGCAATGGACTGAGCACTCCAGAGAAACAAAAGCATCAGCCAGACTGGCATTCCTGATGCAGAAGTTTGTTTCTGAGATGCCTGCATGAAGGGCAATCAGATTGCAGCCTCAGCAAACTAGACCTCTGATAACAGACTGCAAAGTTGTACAACAATGGCAGAACCACAGTATGGATAGGGGGATCAATTACCACTATTACTACTTACCCCCCCTTATCCCCAGTGCAAACCCTATGGGAGGGCACTGACCATTTGAACAAAAACCCTCTTCACTTAATATTAGAAGTAGGAAAACGCCAGTATTGGAAATGGAATCAGTTGGGAAGCACCTCTGGAATAATCGCTCCAGAAGAAGGAAAGGAGAAAAAACGCTGCTCTGGCTCGTTTGGCAAAAACCTCGTTGGACACCAGTCTACCACCAGCTGCATCTGTTGGAGACTAGTACGCTTAATGTAATTCCTCAAAGGGGCCTAAGATCTTAGGAGCTTCTCTTTCTATTTTTCCAAGCCCAATACTGTCTCCTCAGCAACATCCTGGAATTTGGCTAGGATATTAACTATGAACTCTCTCCTTCCAGTCTTGTGTCTCTTCTAATCCTGTGCCAAATATGGGTGCCAGTCTTGTGGCAGTTTGTGTCATGGTCACTCACAAGTGTATTGTAAGCTTGGGTTTGCAATGTATACATACACACACACACACACACACATGCATCCAAACGGTCATCACCCCATCCCACCCCTCCAGTCCTTTGTCTTCCTTAGTACCTGCCCTCCTGCATTGCTTTTTGTTGCAGGCTGATCAGGAGAAGTCGAATCTCCTCCCTCACTAGCTCCTTGAGGTTGGGAGGGGCAGCTAGCAAGGCCCTGCTCTCTACTGCTGGTTCAGGACTCTCTTCCAGTCTCCGATGACCTGAATGCAGCTCCTGATAGAATTCTAACAGGGTCTGCACCTGTGAAATGGAAGAGGTTTAGATTGTATTAGGGTAACACATAGCCACATACTAAAATTCATCTTCTCTCCAACCCTTTAAATGGCAGAACTTAAAAAAACAGGGTCCTAACACAACCTGACAGATCCCTTCCTTGTCTGCTCAGGGAGATGTGGATTCGAACCACCTACCTCTTTGCAACAAGACATGCAAGCTAAACTGAACAAGCAAATGCAATCTTTCAGAAGTTCTTGTCTCCTGTTAATAAGATGATTCAGTGAACACACAAAAAGCTAGCATGGATAATCTCTAACATGATGGTTTTTAAAGTACATTTCATGAAGATCAGAGGATTTCTGAAAACTGGAGTGAAAGGTTTTGGGACCCGGGTAGGTTTCTTGAAGTATATCACATATTAAGGGATAAAAGCAATATGTAAGGCTATTTTGTGGGAAGGGAAGGAGGACATACTGATAAATTATTGCTAAACAATGTGTTCACTTCACCACTTTCCCTTAACACACTATTACTTGGTGAAGTTCGTCACTTTCCCTTAAGTCCATCTCTTTGTGTGTGATCTACCCTCTGGCATCTTTGTCTATTCTGCTCTGCTTTCCTCACTACTGGTCCAAACTCATGGTTATATTTTGTGCTGCTTTGTTCTTCTCCCCTCCTAGAACTCCCTCATAGATCCATATACTCTCTCCAATTCCTTAACACAATTCCTAATTATGAAACTTTGAGCAGTGTAATACATTTTCAGTGAACCTTCTGCGTTTCATAATAAAATACTGCTTAAACAACAAATACAGATATATGTATTAAAAAGTATGCTATAAAAATAAACCATGTGTGTTATCCAATCCTATGGAAGCCCACAGTTACTTATTAAACATATCCACTCCTCCTTCACCACCACAGTCTGGGCCAGAACCTTGTCATTCCACAACAGTTGCCAAGAGGGAACTGCATTGTTGCTGCTTGTATCACTGGCACTCCATAAAAGGTGAAAAACAGAGGACACGCCCCCCCACTCTCCCTCTTCCCAATGAAAGAAGTCAAAGTCATAGAGCCAAAATATACCCAGCCCCAATCAACATAATGTAGGGCATTTAGAGGGCAAGTGAACTCCAGAAGTCCCTTCTGGGCCCCAAACATTAAGAAAGGTGCTACTATAATACAGCATCCCTGGACAGCCTCCCCGATATTTTAATTGGGGAGGGGGAAAGGCACATAGACAAGAACAGTGGAGATTCAGTGCTTGGGTCAGGTTTGCTAGCTTGAGTTAAAGAAGCAATAGAAATCCAGGTTAAGAGGCCCCTAAAAGGGGGTGTGACAGAGTTCACAATACAAAGGGCTGAATGAGCATCTTTGGATACCCCAAGGAAATCCCTGAAATACAAGGATGTGGGAGAGAAGGGGTTGCCAGGTGATGCAGCTATTCTAGTTGTAGGGGAAAGTAAGACAATTACCATGTGAAAGGCCACTGGGATGTTTACTGTTCTCTTGGCCCCAGCCAGGACCAGGCTGAATAAAGAAAGGGCATGAATGGCTGGAGGAGAACAAAAGGCCTGGAACAGCATGGATTAGGGACTCTGGCCAAGCATTAGGAACCAGACAAACTGGGGGCTGGCAAAAAAAGGGGGAGGGACCCTGCAGACATGCAAGGAAGGAGGCACCAGCATTATTCTGCTCTCCATAGAGTATAAACAGACTAGAAAAGCACCTGGGGGTGGAAAAGCCTAAAGTGGCACTCGTACTAAGACATATTGCAAAAGTATTGCTCTGAGTAAAAGTGCAAAAGTATCACTCTCAGAAGAAAAACGCTTGAGACCCGGCCCCTGAATTGCAAGGTCAGAAAGAGAGCAAAGGGGCTCTTAATGAAATTTACAAGTACCTTCTTTTAGCCTGTCCAATGGTAGGCAAATCACCACACTTTGTAGCCTTAGAAGAAAAGTACAGTAGATGCTGTTGCAAAAAAGAAAGCAGCTGCCCTCCTCCCCATGCCAAACATGCCCCCCCTCGATACACACAGCTACCAGGTAAGCAGAGCAGGATTCTACAGAGTCCTACATTTCATCACAGATCCTATTATATATGTGAGTGGAGAGGTACACGCAAAGCAGGTTTATATACGTAGATACTACTGTCTACAACAATATGTGCTGAATACGTTCTCTAAGCAAGCCCTTGCATGTGACTTCTGCTAACATTTTCCATGAATGTGTCATTTATGAATGCTGTTAGTAAGAGGCAGAAAGCTAAACAAACCATTCACTAGAAGTACTAGTATCATTAAGCATTTTTATAGTGTTGACAGAATACAAGATGACATGTTTTCTCCTCAGAATAAGATAGATGGCCATCAGGAATCAGCAAGAGGGACAGAACTAGAAGCAATGCCTGACAATAGTGAAACAGACACATCAAGGCTAGGTTAAGGCAAGACTACTGAAAACAGGGAAGGAGAATATGTCCCCTCACGGATGTTGCTAGACAGCAGTCTCCATCAGCCCTAGCTTAGCTTATGGTGAGAGACATAGGGAACTGCAATCTAAAAACATGGGGGTGTACGTGGGCCCTGCCAATGTTTAAAAATGTGAATCTTGTAGATGGATTTGGGGAATGCAGCTCTTCATTGGGAAGAGAGAAAAAGATATAGCTGTTCAGGTCATAGGGAGTAGCAGACAGAAGAGGAGATATTAAAAACGAGGAGCTTGAGTAAACCTGAGGTTCAATTTAACTTCACTGTTAAAACACACCTAAAACAATTAAAACACAACAGCAGCCTACGAGATGTTCTTAACAAAAAAGAAAAGATCCCATATCTAACAAGGAGGAGGATGTGGTCTGTCATGGAACACTGAGTTCAGGGAGGCCCATTCTCGTTGTCCTGGTGTGGATGAAACCAGGAGGGCCAAATGCACTGAGGGCCAGAGGAATCTACCTGCCTGGCACCCTCCCAACACTTTAATCATACTCAATTAAGCAGTGCTTCCAGGGAGTTACCAAAAGTCCATAAGGCTAAGTGCTTTGACTTTTACACCAACCCTGCAAGGTAGAAATGCCACCTCATCTACAAAAATACAGGCTCCTGGTAGATGGTCAAGGCAAGGCCTGGTTTTAAGTACCACAAACCCTCTTACTCCAAAAAGTCAAACAACTGTATGAAGAAATTTTATATGAAGATGGTGAAAATGTCAAAAAGCAGGGGGGGGGTCAAAAACATTCTCAACAGTTGCAAAAACAATCAAAAGGGTTTTAAAGCAAACAATCAATTAAAAGTTTGAGGCCAAGCAAACCCACAAGAAAATAAGAAAGCTTGTGGTTTAGGCATCTGGCTCTGGAGCCAGAGGTTGAGAGTTTGACATTTGTACACACTGTCATACAAAAATGTACTTCACAATATAGTGGTGCCTCGCTAGATGATGATAATCCGTTCCACTGAAATCGCTATTTAGCGAAATCATCATCTAGCGAAAAGCATTTCCCCATTGGAATGCATTGAAACCTGTTTAATGCGTTCCAATGGGGAAGAATCGTTGTTGTCTAGTGAAGATTGGCCATAGGAAAGCCGCTTTGCGAACCGCCAATCAGCTGTTTAAATAGCTGTCTTGCAAAGCTTAGGTCCCAAAAACACCCATTTTGTGAGCACGGAGGGAGCTATCAAAATTGTTGTCTAGTGAAAATCGGTTTGCGAAGCAGGGACAAAACATTGTCCAGCGAAATTCCCTCATAGGAATCACTGTTTTGCGAATCACTATAGCGATCGCAAAAAGTCAATGTCTAGCGAAAAACTGTCATGTGGGGTAACTGTCTAGCGAGGCACCACTGTAGTGTACCGAATTCAGAAATAATATTAATAGGCAAAAGTGCAGAACTTTAGTGTCTCTTCTACCACACAGCAAAGTGGTTTTACAGACTGCTGAAATGAAGGATGAGGTAGTGGGGAAATGTATCACTTGGTGGAATGAAGCCCACCTTGGGTTCTTTTTAAGGAGAAAGGTATTAAAAATATTTTAAATAACATAATTTAAATAAATGTATCATGAACATGGACCACAGTACTAGCAAAACTTTTAAAATGTTTTAAATAAAACGTATATTTCTATTATTGCACATCTTTAAACTGCCCTCAGTTACAAAAGGCAATTATTTTATGGATCTCATGTCCAGAAATAAGAAAAGCAGATACTGTATAAACGTCACATGGAAGACACTGTTATCTTTATGTGTACATGTGTATCAGTCAAACTGTTGTCCCCCTCCAGATATGTTGGACTACAACTCCCATCATCCCAGAGGAAGTACAGGCTCTCTTTGATTTTTACATCCATTAGTAAATCAAGTCCTTTTGCCAAAATGAAGTCGCCTCTTTAATTCTGGCGAGCTTGATTTGACACTCCTGTCAAATAACTCTTCAGCATCAGCCGAGGCTAGTGGGCTGTATAAGGTGTCGGTGTTGCTCTCTTGTGAACTATGTGATGTAGGAAAATAGAGAGCAGCCAACCTTGCCTATTTCGTTTAGCCTGGAGCCCTTTTCAGAGGCCAGGGGCTCCAGGCTAAACAGGTTTTCTGTACTTCACCTCAGCATGAAGCTCCAAGCTGCGCTCCACAACGTCGACACCCAAGATCGCCTTCACCTCAAGCCTCTCACTGGGGGCCAGTTGCTCCTCCATCATCTTCCAGAGCGACGGGGTGGGCGGCAAGGGCTCCCCTGACACACCAGGTAAGCACGGCATGGGGGCGCCATCCAATGCCAGCAACAGCAGCTGGAAGCTTTAAAAGAAAGACAGAGCTTGTGAAGGCGGGAAAGCAAACAAGAGGATAAAGTCCCAGGGCATGCCTGCCGCCCCCCCCCCGCGCGCTACCCCAGTCTCAGCGACACCCCAAGACACACGTGGCTTGCGTTTCTGCTCAATAGACAACTATTTCCCGATGCTCGGCAGCAGCACCCAGTGGTCACAGCCAAGCGTCACCTCAGCCTCTCCTTCCAACGCTGCCCCTGCCCCATATTCTCCCTTCCTTTTGGCACCTCGACGAACCGCCCCACCGAACCGGCTTTCCTACCCCCAGCTTCCTTTTCCTTCCCATTTTTGCCCGCAACTTCCGCCAGCGCCGCTCCGCACCTCGGCCACCCTCCGCCTGCCGAAGGGAGAGCCGGGGCGGCCAGGCGGAATCTGGCCCTCCAGTTCTTCCCCAGACCCCTCGTGCGGCTCCCTCCCCTCGAAGCTCTCAAGAATATACACTCGCCGTCCCCGTAGCAACGCCCCCCCTCCTTCCTCAGAAGCCTCGCCTCTTAAAGGAGACGCGGGCAGGTGCCTCGACCGGACGCGGCCCGAAGTGGAAGGGAAGCGCCTGAAAGCTCCTGGCGCCGGCGTGTGCGCAAGGGATGGGGAGCGAGGGGACCCGCCGCCTGGACGCGCCGGCGAGGCTGCTGATGAGCGTCCTACCGTTGTTCGTATGGATATGACCGAAAAAGGAAACCCACCGTGGCCGCTGCAGAGGGAGGGCGAGGGGTGGCCGCTGAAGTTCCAAGGTGGAGCCCGGGGTGTGTGTGTGTTGGGGGGGCGATTAGGGAGATGAGCGGGGCACGCATACTATGCAAACGGGATGGAGCGC